ATGAAAATGAGCCAGGGGAAACGAGCCAGGCCCTCACAAGAAGGCACTTCATCAAATTTTCTGAAAATGAGCCAGGGGAAACGAGCCAGGCCCTGAAAACGATGCGATAGAATATGAAAGCTGGACCAGCCTGCAGGGAGACCCTCACTCATGCATCATCCATTCCATGTGGGTGTGCAAATATTGCAGTCACACCACACACCTGAAAATCAAGTTCTCCTTCCGCTTCGATTCCACACAGTTCAACGAAATTTCAGAGTTGTAGTGGGCAGACACCACATCCGCACAGCACAGCGTTATATGGCGGGTCAGCCCCACAAATATGCTCACAGACTTGAAACTTCGAGATAACAGGCCCGGTTCAATTACGCCATCGAGTTCTGCTTGAAACTTCAGTGAAGCTTCCCACAATGCAAACCCTGTCACTCGTTGCTACAAAAGATGCAGGGCAGATTTCAACGCAGTCTTCATGTGCTACAAATCTCGACTACCACAAGCAGGTCTCCTTCTCTCTCTCTTCTACACAGGATCTCTCCCTGAACATCGAAGTGATGCTCCCACTTGATGGCTCAGTCACCACCAAGGAAAAGCTCTCTCGTACAAAAGCCCGACACAACAGTGCTGTCCCACTCCAAAAGGAACAGAAAACAACAGGTACCAGATGGCAACTCAATTGCCCTACTACTCCAGCTATGGCTGCCTTCTTCACCACACAGCGCATTGCTTGTTTCCACGAACCAGCACCACACAGAATGAACCCTGCAAAAACGATTTCTGACAGTTTTGTTTTCTCAGGGGCACTTTTCCCGGTGCCTTTGGAACCCTCTGGATACTTGCTGGAGACGCTTGCTGCACGAATGGTACTAAGCATTGACTTCACATACACATAAGACCAGGTGTCAGGTTCAAGGCTCCACAAGCATAGTCAAAGCTTACAACAGGGTATGGCAACAGGTGAGGGCACAGGTAAGTCAACACCGGTATACAACATAGCAGAAAAGGAACAGGTCACGGGATCGAACCGCAACAGGCTTAGGAAGGTGAAATCCTTTCAAGCCAGTAGATCAGGTGGAAAAGGTGACGGAAGGAAACCATGCAATCTGTACTACCTCAGTTCTGCATGTCCCCAGCGGGGAGTTGAAGAAACGAGGCCACCCTGTTACGGTGTCTAGTGTCAGCATGATGGCTAAGGTGCTCTGCTTGGTCATAAGCGAAGGATCTCGGATCAGAACGTGAGGCAACTCCTGCCATATGTAGCTCATTACGGACTGGTGAAATTTTGAATATGGGACCAAAGAAACAGCCACGGAAGAACAGTTTCCCCACCCTATTAAATCAAAAACTGGTCTCATTAGTGTTCAACAAGACAGTGATTCAGGATCTGTATTGAAAACCAAACTGCTCTGGGAAAGCACAATATACACGTGGATAAGACTCCAGCACGGACCAGCCTTGCTTTCCTGGTTTTTACGGTTTATTCACAATTGGCAAGTGTTCCTCTGTGCTGTATCACTTTTCCATTGGAAGCTGTAAGTTGTATATCTGTTTCTTCGAAGACGCTGTTGACTTCGTTCAGGAAACAAGTGAAAATACCTTTCATTTAGTTTCTTGTGTGTGTGTATGTCTGTGTGTGTGGTGTGTGCGTGTGGGCTTGTGTGTGTGTGTGTGTGTGTGTGTGTGTGTGTGTGTGTGTGTGTGT